GGTGTTTTAGTTGAAAAGTCTTTTAAACCATCACAGCAATGTGCTGTTGTTTGTGGTAAACAAATAGGATTTTAGGTCGTATCTACAGAAATATTTAATATAAGTCTAAAGAGCTTATAATTTCACTGTACAGATCATTGGGTAGGCCACATTTGGAGTATTGTATTAAGTCTTGGGTGTCTTACCTTAGGATGGACATTGAATATTTGGAAAGGAATCAAAGGAAGGCTACGTGATGATATCTGGGATGAAAAGGTTGTCATGCAGGAACAAGTTAAGACCTCCAAAATTGTTTTCTCTTAATAAAAGAAGAGTTAGAAGGGCTCTGATTGAAGTTTTTAAGATTGTAGAGAGAATTTATAGTGTCGATGCATCATACTTAAGAGTGAAAATGGTAGAACTAGGGGACACAGATATAAATTTTGGTAGGGAAGGAGTTATCATCAGCTAAGACAGTTTAAATTTTCTATCAGGGTTATTGGCCAATGTAATTGGTTGCCTTGAGGTGTAGTGGATACAGTTAATCTAAGGAAGTTAAGGGAAAAACTTGTTAAATATTTAAATGATAAGGAATGGCTTTGAGTATTTTTAAGGTTTAGTTCAGTGGATGGTATAGTTTAGATGAACAAACATGTCCATAAGTTATATGTATGTATATAGTATGCTAGGGACATTTTGCTGACCACATGAGAATATCTCATATGAGATTTTAGCAAAATAACTAATTACAATAACCTTTTTACTTTATTTTCCACAAGGGGTATATTATCAATATTAATGCTTCTTCTGTATTATCAAGAGACATTCACTCAAAATTTCCCATTTTTGTTCGGACTGTAGCTGGTAAGATAATTCTGATTATGAAAAAATTCACAACATTAATAATATCACTGCTCTTTATAAAAAAAAATGTATATGTATTATCAGCAACAGATTCAAAAATTTTACTTCCCAAATTACAGTCTAAAAAGTGAAAATTTATAACTACCCTGTATTTTTCAAGAAATCATTTATTCTTTTAAAATTAAACTTTTGAGGTACTTCTACTACTGTCAATTGCAGTTTGTTTCATAAGCTAATCACTCTCTTAAATTTTATACTGGTATCCCATTTGCTTTAGAATATGTCACAAAGAAATCGAAGGCCTCTATCCTGTCGATTGTTCAGATAATCTTTAAATTTGCTAAGATCACATCTCACTCTTCTTTTCTGAAGAGAAAATAAGTTAAGACATCTTAACCTAACAGGAAAAACTTGTTGATTGTCTTGAAAAAAGATTCCAACCATGCCTGACTGATGTCATCATATAGTTAAGGTTAGAGGAAGATCCAGTGACTGCTTCATTTTGTTCCAGAATTAACTTCTTATACATGATATTGTAACATGGAATGTAAAATGCACATTTTATTGGTAACACTGACTTGTCACTTCAATCTTTCTTGAATAAATCAATTAAAAGAAAGTTTTTAATTAGCACTTTTATGTTTTGAGTTTGAACACACTAGAGATATTTTATAAGTTTTTGATATTTAGACATTTTGCTTATGTATGGAAACCAAAATTATTTCTTTTCACAATTTTTCTTGTAAGCTTAACTGTTGATTATTGAACTTTCGATATATATATACATCTGAATACTTTGCTAAAAACAGAAATCAAAAATATTATAATGTATGATTTGAAGCTGTGTAAGTAGGAAAGTTGAAGGTTGCCACAAGATTTGTTTAAAATATACAGTGTGTTTGTATTTTATGTATTTTATATATATATATACTATTTCTTTAATTCTAAGAAATGTGATGACTGTAGAACTTTCTTCTTACATCACTGCTAATTTTTGTTATTCTTCGCTAGAGACAGTTGAAGTTCTTGGCAGGTGATCAAAATGAGTGGTAAGTCCAACAATAAATATACATTTTTATATAATAGTATAATAAGAAAAGATTAAAATGGGTAAAAAAACTACCTGTCATCTTTGCAACCTTTGTAGAGTAAATATGACCATATAAGTTCAGAATAATATTAAATCCATCTACTATGGTAGTTTGGTATTAAAACTTATTGTTATGAAATATCCAGTTGTTTTGAATAAAAAGTTCAATTTGATGAAACATATAAATACTTTAAATAATATAAACATATTTCAGACCATGTTTTTCTAGTTTATTCCTGTTAAGTACATTTAATTCCATAAGAACTGGGCAGAAAGCTTAACTTTATGAATATATTATTTACAAAGACACTATTAGTATTAAAAAAAAATCTTAGAAAATGTTAACATAAATTACTAATAAATAATATTGTTTTTAATTTCTTGTAGTGCAGTTATTAATGATTTGTACATGTATAGTTTCAATAGATAAACTACTGACTTCAGAATGTTTCCTTTTACAGCTTCAAGAATGACCTTGTATTTGATTTGTAGCACTTGTAACTTCAATCTTTTTGGAATGAGTGTATTAAGTCCTTATCTTGATGCACCTTTATGTGTTGAATTTTAACTGTAGTAAAGATATTTTATATTTATAAGTTTTTACTTTTTTTCTTTGTAGCAGCATTTTCATTGATAAAAAATTCAAGAAACTCTGAAAAGAAAATGAGTAGATTTTGTGTTTGGATGTGATAAGAACACTATATAATTTTTATGAAAATTATTCAAAGTATTATTTGAAGGTACTTAATTTGTTTGTTATATGCTTTTTTTAATACCCAGGAGATTATTATATTTCAAATAAAAGAATTCATTAATAACTATGATATATTACTGTATGAAAAGACAAATTTCACATACAAAAATAGTTTATCAAAACTCCTCATTGGTTTCATAATGCCTGTAAAAAGTATATGAACTTGTTCAACCAACATAATGTTTTATGTGTTATAAACTATGTAAAATATTCAAGGAAGTACATTTTTGCATATATTAGCAAATAAATCAAAGCATGCAGCCCCCCATTGGCACAATAGTAAGTCTATAGACTTATGCAAGGCCTGCATGCATGTTTTTGTTGGTTTGTAGTTAAGAATAAATGTTATCTGTGCTATGCCCACCATGGGTGTCAAAACCTGGTTTCTAGCACTTTGCTTAAGATAATGATAAAATTTGTTTTCATAAGTCTGCCATGATTTATAATTATATAAGAGTATAATTTTATACTTGAAGTAAGGCATGTTTAAAGAGACTAAATAATACTTACTAACAACTCTCAAAACACTGTTTATAAAGCTTATAAGTTTGACTCACTTATGTGCCATCTAGCCTGATCAGTTTTCTTCCCATGATGTTACTCTTAAGGTATTCCATTGATCAAAATCTTGGATATATTTAAGGTGTGTGTATATTAATGATAAGCTGAAAATGTGTTTGTCATCTTACTTTACTTAATAATTAGTGAGTATAACATTTTCTGTTAGCAACCATGTTTCTAATGAGCAGTATTTCTCTTTTTTTTCCATGTAGATTGTACCACCAGTGTTGTAATTGAGTTTAATGTGTCCGATTTTTTATCTCCATCCCAAACGTATCTGTCCAAACAATCTTCATCTAAAACAAATAACCAACCACAAGGATATTCTGCAAGAATTGTAGGTAATTCCCATACAGATGAAACCTTCCTCTGCAAGCAAGTAAGGAAGTTGACTGTAGAATCCAGTGTCAGTTCTCCTTCTTATGACAAGCTCATTGACATAACAGAAGGTGAAGCTGACAATGAACAGTCATATTCAAGTAATGAGAAACTAAAAGATACTCCACAGAGTAGATGTGAGGAGGAAAAAACAAATAACAAACAGTTACCATCATGCGATATTAGTTTACAGGATTCTATGATTTTCTCTGATCAATCTCTGAACATTGGTGTTTGGTATAGAAAAGAAGAAATTCGCCGAGGTTCTACAAATTCTAGTGAGGCCAACCATAATGTGGGGAAGAGTGGTTCTTGGAGCCCATCAATGATTGGTGGAGGTAAATTTATGCAGATTCAGTGATTTCTACAAATCATAAGATTACTTATACTGTTTCCTTTCTAATTTTCTATACCGTACTTATGTTCGATTTGCATCTTATTTTAATATCGAAACGAAAAGCAGATATACTTAACTGTATTAATCTCCAGATATGTTCTTATATCTCAATGATCCAGTTGATAGAGATGGGTAGTCTGCTGTTACTCATTGTAATCTCTTAACTAAATAAATATCAGAATTAAACCAAAGAACTAACTAGATGTCTCAATCATCAGTTCTTCAACTAAAAAATATTTGGTGGAGGTGAAAATGCTAGGGTTATTCAAGCAGAGTTACATATTAATAATTATTTGTTAGATTTTGTATTTTATTTAATTTGTCATTTTGGAAAACTCTTTGAAAACTAAAATGCTATAAATAAACTAATTATAATGCCAGAGAGAAATTTGATGTTTTCAAATTCAAGAAGTGGAAATTAATCAAAATGGGAAAAGTAGAGTATTATATCAAATGCCCATGTCAAACACCAAATCAGAGGTCTAACAGTATAAAACTTCTTTTCATGGAAGATCTAAAAGTGTATAGTTTAAATTGGTATTTACTGGAGTTAGAGCTGGGTGATTAATCTACATAATTGATTACATGTGAGCATTGATTACATTGATTAGTGACATGTAAAATAACTTAATAATAGAAATACAATTAACTAAATGTCATGAAGGTAATCAAAATATTGTCATTATCATTTTTCACTGTTATTTTTGATTTATTCAAAATTGTTCAGGTTAATACATTAGTGTTATGACTTACAACAATGATTAACTCATAGAAACTAGCATTTCCAACTATCCAAATTTGAGCTAATTAATCAGTTTTCACTAATTGTCCAGCTCTAACTGAAATACACTTTGTCTACTGTATGTCTAATTTGGTTTTTAAATACAAGTCCTAACTTTGATTTCTCTAAAAACCAACAAATTTGACAAAAAAAGTCTAGTGGAAAGCCAACTAAAAACAACTACCGTTATTTTTTAAAGCATGGTACAACTTAAAATGGAATTAAAATATTAAAACCATGTAAAAATAATTTCTAATATCAGGCTGCATATCATACCATTCTAAAGTTTAAAACAATGTTTACTAGATGTTGAGCTATAAACTATGATCTTTAGCTTTGCAATTTACTTTTTAAAAACTTTATATTCTGGACAAAAATGCATGTTTATCAATGTTGAGGTTCATCTACATGGTATATGGTATTTGTACAATCAAACTGTTCATTGCTTTTAGCTGACCTACCTATATCAAATTATATAAACTATGTCATTAGTCAAAATATTGCTTTGCGACAACTGATTAGCTGAGGTTTAGCTCAGTATTTTAGATAATCTATTGCATTGCACATTATAAACATATGTATCTTTCACTTTAAGTGAGAACTGCAAAGTTGGAATTAAAAAATAAACAAACTGAAAGTTAAATATATCTAGTAAACTGCTTTAATCTAAGCAGCAAAATGTGTGGGCATGTTTAATGGCATTAAGTTGTAATCATCTAGAATATGTTATTAATCTAAATGAAACATGTTTGAAATATGATATTCTTTGATAAATACACAAAGAAATGTTTAAGTTGTTATCTGAACTTGCAAATGCCCTCTGTATTTACAGAAGAAGAGCTTCTAGAGAACGAAACGTTTGACTTCAATATCTCTGTTACATCACCTTGTTCATTCGGGTAAAAGTTTTTTCGTATTACACCTTTTCAGTTTTGTTTATAAGTAACTAAAATAAGTTTTGTCTCCAGTGTAAATTTTTTTTTCTGAATTATTGCTTGTACTCCACTTTTAACCTATAGCTGAGATAGTGTTTTTTAACTTCTGGAAGGAAATTACAAGTTTTCCTTGAAACTGAGATTCTGAAAATTTATGTAATAATTTAAAGATTTTATAACTGAAATGTATACAAAACTTGGGTTAAAAGACTAGTATATGTAACCCAGTACACACTCAACTTTTTCCATATATATAATGCCTCCCAGTTAACAAGACACCACAACACCAAGACAGAGATAACATAAATTTGAAACTGTTTAGCATTTGTATAAAGCATGTGGCTTAATACTATTAAAATTTAAAAGCTTCTGTACTTTTTGTCCTTTTTGTGGTGACTTCTAACACAAATGATAGGAAAGAAGTACAGCAGTCTCCTCCGTCTCTACTGAAAGTACTATCAGTTGAAGACAAATACTTGCAATACCAACCTGGATTCAACAATAAAACTTTCTAATGAATACATACTTCAACCATAAATCACAATACTATAACTACATCTATTAATAATGTATTTTGAGCCCCTCAGTGGCACAGCGGCATGTCTACGGACTTATGACACCAGAAATCGGGTTTCGATACCCAAAGTGTACAGAGCACAGATAGCCCATTGTGTGGCTTTGTGTTTAACTTCAAACAAACAAATATATCTTGATTTGGAAAAGACTATACATATTTTCAAATGCTACCTTGTATTTATTCTTTACTTCTTTAAATGTTAAATCTTACCAAGCACACAATGTATAACAATGACAAGCTGATGTTGATCATCAAGATGATACAGATTAACAGATGCCTATGATTGTTGTTTTCTAGAATTGGTGAAGATGACGTTTTTCAAGAGTTGAATACACAGACACATGAGAAGACATTTTCAAAGGAAGATAAAGTATCCATTAACAAGTTAGATTCGTCTAAGGTAACTTATCAGGTGACAAATAATCTGAGGAGCAATGAACCATTAGAATACTTAAATGACTTTCAAGTATCCTTATTTATATCAGACTATTGAAAAGAATCTGTTAATTGTTATTTTGACAAATAGCATATAAAATTGCTACTTCAGGAACCTTGATAAAAATTAAATTAAATTGATAAAATAAGTTAAAATATAATGAGTTTTTCAAAAATTTACTCGTAGCATAAGAAATGTTAAAAGTTAGCATGAGAAAAAGTATTGACAAAACTAAACACTTACTTAAACAATCAGTTGTTTCAAGTTTATTATTGTTTGAAAGAGAATAGTTTCAAAATTCTATTCTCAAACTGAAATTAGATTCATTTTTATGACCCAGTTCTACTACTACAACAACACATTAATCTCATTTCAAAATAGTAAGTACAAACAATAAGGAGCATTGATTGCTCATCAGAGAAACCATCTAATTCATAATCTATAACCTATTATACCCTATGCAAGGAGGGGGAGGAAGGGATTCAACTTTTGCATCCTGCCTAAATATCACTTTTATCCACAAAAAAAAACATTGTATGTGTCTGTTAAAAAGATAATTTCATAAATAAATAGAAGTATAAAAACGAATACATATAGTTTTAAATGACCAAATCAACTTACGATCTTCCCCATTTGTCTCTGGGTGAACGTCAAGGTTACTTCCAGTTCTTTGGTTAAACATATATATATGTGCCTGTTTATAAGCTATTTCAGTCTGTACATAATGATTCCTTTACTGGTAAAATGATGGTCATAATATATGAAATATTTGTGAAATGTTCAATTGTCTTTGTTTTCCTCACTTGTGTTACTATTATGCGATTAATCCTGTCTGTTTTAAATTAAAATATGAATATCAAATGAAAAATTAAAAATATCTGCCCACAAAATCATAGAAATTTTTAGTCCTAACTTGAAGGCAACAGAAAACAGAATTAGTTATGTTCTTTGAAAAAAACCCATCAGAATTGAATAAGAAACTTTAATGAAAACAAGTTATTTAATCTTTTTTACTGTGTTACGTCATAGAGCCTAAAGCATGATACTTGTTTATATGTGTATACTGTCCAAGAATTTAATTTTCTTTCCCTATATAGCTGCACAGATGTATTTGCCTTTGCTATACATATAATGCATCTCAAAGTTTTGGGATAAATTCTGTGACATCTCCAACATTCATTGCTTTACTTCTGTAGCTGAACATTTATAAGGTAAAATTTAAACAAAAACAGAATTCAGTTATACTTTCACTTGTATAATATGTTTCCCTTCCTGTCATCACAAAAATATCATAGCAATGAATGTCAAAGAGGCAATAAAATCTATACCAAATAAATGTTAGTACTAAGTGCTTGTGAAGTGTGTGCTGTATGTACTATATCAAGATAAAACCTGTAACTGAAAGCAGTTGGCCTAAAGACCTTGCTCAGGCTTTTCTTGAATGCTACATCACAAAACAGAGAATTTTTCCAGGAAATCATAAACAACCTGTTTAAACAGAATTTAAACTATGTATCACAAAAAATGTGACACAAAAAATTCTGTACGGGAATAAACTGTCCCATTAAAGATGTTTAAGTTAAGCCATTGTGCCTAATATTTTTTTTATATTTAAAATATGTATAATTTTAGCAGCTTTTCATCCTGTGTAAACAAAAAAAAAAGCTCTTAGATTTTCACTCATAGCTAAGGTTTTTACACTTGAATGCTCAAGACATCCATCTACTTAGAAAGTTAAAAGTATATTGTACATTAAGATTACTTGTCACATTATTCTTGATAAATAGGAATAGACATTAAGACTAAATAATAGAATGGAATCTAAACATTATGCTTGAAATGCATGTTTTTCCACAGTTGTTTCTCCGGTATTTTGTAATTTAATAAAGTTATTAATACTATTTTTTCCAACAGTTCTTAGGTATTGTTTTTCTAATTTTCAAAAAAAACATTTAAACGTGGCATGTTTTGTTATATCTGGTTTTATAATTTTGAGGTAATATAGTAGTTAGAAACTGTATATTTTTAATTACTTTATATGTAAATCTTTATCTGAATAGCTCTCAGATGTCCCTGACATCTGGCATTCTCTCTCTCGTGAGGACATGGTTAAAGTAAGAAATGAGGCATCCGATGTTATTCGTCGTTTGGCTGTCAATGAAGATGGTGAACAGGAATTAAATACTAAGCAGGAAAAAGAAGCTAGTAGTGTAGGCTGTAATATTTCACCAGTCTATACATGTATTTACCCAAACAAACAACTGAAACCTACGAGTGAAAGTCTGGGGGTTCGTCGAAGATCCAGATCAATTGCTTTACAAACAGATGACACAAACTTGTATCTAAATTTTAAAGAGGAAGCCTCACGAACCACTAAATTCAAGTTAAAAAGTGTAAACTCTACAGTGGATGTTTTTAGTCAGACTGAATATATGGACGACAAAGAAAATTATTCTGATAAAGTCAATGAAAGCTTGCATGAATCAAACCAATTGCTTGAACATACACTGCCAACTTGTTCTCCACAAGAGACTACAAACAAGAAATCTACTACTGTTATCAGAAAAGGAACCTACACACTGAAATCAAGTCCATTAACAGCTGAAATTGTTCGAGAAAAATGTCGAGCCAAAAAGAAAAAGACCAACAGTCAGGTAGTTAAGAGTTGTGATTTAGACAGAGAAGGTGTGTCAGTTCCATCAGATGCACATGCTAGTACAGCCACTCCACCATTAGATAAAATAAGTGTTAGATCTAAAGTTACCTGTCTTAAGAGCAGTACACCAGTTGGTAGAACAGCTAGTACCAGTGCTACTTTGTCAAGTAGAAAAGCTGTATCTGTATCCAGCCAGCCTCCAATTGGTTCAACGGTAAGTCTGAAGCTTATAATGCTAAAACCAGGTTTTGATACACATGGTGGACGCAGCACAGATATTCCATTGTGTAGCTTTGCACTTAACAATAAACAAACAAGGTACCCAGCCAGATTAATTTTGTGTTTGAGCTAGCTCATAACATCAGATTTAATAAACACTAATTCTATATTTTGATTCAAGTTAGTATTGGTGTCCCCCAGTGGCACAGCGGTATGTCTGTGGACTTACGATGCTAGAATCCGGGTTTCGATACCCGTGGTGGGCAGAGCACAGATAGCCCATTGTGTAACTTTGTGGTTAATTACAAACAAGCAAGTTTGTATTGGACATTTATTGTGATTCATAACTTCTTAATTAGGGTACAGTTTTCCATTTTTCTGTAGGATTAATATAATGAGTTTAAAAGAGAGACACTAACACAGTAATTAGATATAAACATTTACTTCTTTTTTTTTTGATATTGTGAGAAATTAACACTTAATATGTGAGTCACAGGGCTGTAGGAAGTGGAAAGGCCATGGCATGTATAGCTACAACTTATGTGTTAAAACTTGCTTTATTTAACTCAATAAATTATATTGTGTGTATGCAATATTTGTAGTTCAATTGGCTCAAGATTCAATCTCATAGCACTAAATTTTCAAAAGGTTTCTGGGGGACATGCCCCATGACCTCCCTAGAAATGACAATGTGGCAATGGCCTGACCACTCCAAAATTGCTTCCTACTGTAATGGAAATAATTATGGAAACATGCAAGCAATACACATAGTGATGTCACCAACGATGAGCAATTGCATCTAGATTGTGAATTTATTAATTTTACAAAACATTATCACAGAAAGTACTAAAGAAAAGCAAATAAGTTGAACAATGTATTAAATCTTGTTTTTTTGCTGACAAACAGCTGATCAATGTAAAGCTATGGCCTATCATCATCTATCTCATAGATTACATACTCTGAGAAACTTAACATCACTTTCAAAGGTTTTTGGTTTCCTGTCACTTCTGTTTTTCACATACACTCTTCAAAGTATTCTATATATCTCCTACTGAAAAAGCGTGGAATCTTGCCACGTTGTTTTGTGTTGGAGTATCTATGACCCGCCAAAACTTTGATTTTTCCATACTTTTCATGAGATATTTCAGTCCTGGAAGCTATGAGTGGATCAAACTACTTCTTCTGAGTATAGTTTGACTAGTTGAACATTTATAGGACTAGTATGGCACTTTCCGATTAGTTGGATGACGACTAGTCACAGTGTAAACTATCAGTGTGTTACTGCACTCTTGAAATTAAATTTTACGTAGTAAATGGGTGGTATAATAGTGTTATATTCTTCTTTCCTTGTCATTTACTTAATTATTTCCATTACTATAAAATTTAATGACTGTTTATTGACATTATTAAAAAATGTTGTGAAATAAATAATTCAAGTCATTTCTAATATGAACTTGTTATTTTTTACCAACTGACATATTAAGGTACACCCGTAGCTCCCATTTTTATATGAAATGTAGCCAAAGGTGTAAACCATACAAATCAACTTGAATTCTTGTTCAAACATAACTTTTTAACTATATACTAGCTATGGTTATTTTGATCTGAATATGTAAAAATAACAATTTCACACAACCTTTCTTGTGAAATTTGGAAGTTGGAATATAATGTAATGCTATAAGTATTAAGTTAACTTTAATAACCATCTAACTCTGTAGGTTCCCTCAAAAACAGGACAGAGGTGTACTCCATCTTTCAACAGCTCTCAAGGTTCCAGCCAAAACAGTTCCGTTATAAAGCGAGAAAACTTCTCAAAGTTATCACTTAACCATTCAAGGGTAAGTGTAGTGTTTATGATAAATACAGTAACTTAAAGAGTAATAGTATTTTTGTTAGTTTATGACAGCTATTTTAAAGCCATAGCCTTTGAGTAAATGAAATATGTTTTTGTATTAAATAAAAAGGATTTTGAACTACACATTCTAATGATGTAACAGCACAATCACTGGAAAATTATAATTAGAAACAAATAATCCTCTATAATGAATTTCTTGAATGTTCCCATTAACTCTGAATGCATTAATAGATATTCAATCCAATTTTTTTCACATACTAGATAATACAGTATGTTGTAAATAATTATTAATTTTAACTACAATTAATGTACTGTATAAGAAAGAGACACTAGAAAAAGAAAAAGGGAATGCTTATACAAAATGCATCCTCTAACAGGAAAAAAGCCTTATTAATTAAAAACAAAAACGTCTATATAAATATAAAAAAAATGACAGCATGTTGTATACAAGTTTTTCTCAACTGATGGGCAGCAAAACAATTTGATGTGAGCTGCAAAATGGCTTAACATTAGATTATAGTATTTAAAGAATGTTGCAAAACAACAGAAGTAAAATGCAAACTACTTCACAAAAAGCTAACTATAAATTAATGAAATTTTTAATACATTGCCATAGAATTTATGCTGAATTTATTGCTGAAATTATGGTATATTTTTCATTGAAAATGGTAGGTTGGAAGATGACTATCATTTGATTTACTGTTAAAGCTGTAGGATTGGCAATATTGCTTGCAATGTGCACCACAGTATTCATCATGTGTCACCCATTGTCATGTGCATGAATCCAGCATAACAAATATGAAATAACATTTCCATACGTATCATACTTCTATGATTTTCTGTGGTGGGCCATGGTACAGGTGAGCCATAGGAAATTTCTTGAAGTTTAGGTGGGTCATGCTACTAAAAAGGTTGAGAAACTTGTATATTACATACCATTTATGATCAAAGCAAGCTACCTACATATTTCATAACTAAAAATTAACCTGTTAATTAATATAGCTTATTTAATATCTCATTCCAACTAGAAGTATGCCAAGTCTTAACGCACAAATCCTTAATAGTTAGAATGTGTTGATTCATCATTTGGGTGCCCTTGAGGTTAGATTTATTTACTCCCTTAGATACATAGATAATGAGAATGTGTTAAATGTTACATAAAATTTAACCTACTGATCATCAGTCTGGCATAGGAAAGTTAACAATGTAACTTTTGATCTAACAATGCCAAAATACCAGCTTTTCTCATAAAAATTTGGGAAGTAATCCGTGTTATTGTTATTATTTCAGACTGTCGTCGAACTTAGTAAAGAAATTGACCCAAATAACAATGCTTTTCATATTAATATAAATTTACCATAATTGTCAAGTATAAGTGAGAGAAGTCATCTGAAATATGACTGTAGTGAAGCTAGATAGTAAAACATATTTTGAAAATTAACTTCTGTGTTAGGAAACAGATGAGCTTAAAGGGAGTAGGTGCAAAAAAATCAGATAACGATTACCCTTTTTCAAACATAAGTTTAGACTGCATAGATTTTTATGTTTTTAGTAATTTTAATAATATAATAGTAATAAATAAGATTTTTCATACAGCTAACAGAAAGTTATTGCACATTTATTATATGTCTGTCCTGTAGCAATTAAAGTCTGGCATTAAGACAAGGAATTTTATAAATATAAAATTAGGTACAAAAAAATTTAGGAACTTTATTTTCATATGCCTTGATCTTGATTGTAGAGATATATTCATATCATTAGAAAGGGAAAATAACATATTTTGTTTTTATTTTAAAAGATGATTGTCATTACTATTGTCACAAGATCCCATTACAATATAATAAACTAATAATTAGTACTTTCTAAGGTTGTACACTTCATGATAGACAAAGAATCAATATTGTTTTATAAAATTTAACTAACATAGAAGCAAAAAATATCATTTATAGGTAGTCTTTGTTGTAATTTTGACATTTCATATTTATCTCTAAAGCCCTCTTTGCAAAAGACTGGAATTGATACCTCTGTGAACAGTTCTGGGGGATCTTCTAAAAACACACCCAAGTCAAGAAAAAATGTTTCCACTTGTATCAAGGTAGGTAATTAAGGTAAGTTCTTGCATAACTGATGAAATGTAAACATATGTTGTGCAGATGCATATCTAGTATTTATTACCTTATTTACTTAGTAAGATGAACATTTCAAGTTCACCAAAAAAAAAGTAAACCATTTTGAGCAGACAGGTTTCTACCCATGTATGTGTATTTTAACAATGAAATGCTCATTAAGGAATGTGGCTAAATTCCTTCACTCTAATTACTTATCATTCCTGGGTCATGTCATTCCCCTATGGTATCACATGCACTTTCTTGTGGGAAAGATTGCTTCAAAACAGAATACTCTACAAAAAGATGGGCAGCGACCTTTTCTAGTGACAGTTGAGAGAGACCTTATTCTTCTGTGGGAATGATGATCAGTGATGTAGGTAACACATGTGCACTGAGAGTGATGATATTATAGAATTAATGTTAACTTCCAATCAGAGCAAGCTACCTGCTTAAATATAATTCAAAATCAACTGAGTAATAAGTATAGCTAATTATAAAGATTGTAATGCATTGTTTCAGCAGTTGGATGCCCTCTTTGTTAACGATATTTTAAACCATAAACATAGTAATATCTCGCAAGGCTCAGCCAACATAAGAAATTTAAGGTAATCCCAAATCCATAAATTAAACTAGTAATGTAAAGTAGTCTCTATAATAAAAGTATAACAATTAAAATGTGTGAGTAATGAAACTAAATATATTAAACATTCTAACCAATACCATTAATAAAAGTAACATTAAAGAAGGAATAGAGTATACTTTATTTATAAAATCTAGTTGTTAGTTTCAAGTACTGTTATAAATTTAATAGTTATTAAAGAACATCATTATAACTGTGTGTAAACAAAACTTTACATAACCACTCAAAAATATTTTGTGACCAGTGTAACTGTAGAGGAGCCTGACATCTAAGATAAATTGCTATGACATATGTTACTGTTCAGCTGTAGAGTTAAGTAGCAAGACAGTACCAATAGTCCAGCCAAAATTTTATGTTTAACATAACATCTTGGAACAACATGGGACCTATTGGTCCATCTCAGCTGTTCCATCCTCTAAACTAAATAAAACTATTAATAAATGATTTTTTTTTAAATCTTAAAGCCAGCCCTTATCATTCACATACTTACCAAGCTTTTTTCTTAAACTTACTTAAATTTACTGCCTCCACAACATCCTATGGCAACCCATTCCAAAGGCCAAACACCCTTTTAGAGAAATAAAAATTGTCTTAGCTGAAGATGACTCCTACCCCTCCAAGATTTATATTTGTCCCTTAATTATACTATTCTCTCTGTTAAGTGTGAAAAAAAGATGATGCATCAACACTGTCAATTCCCTTTGCTATATTAAACACTTCAATCAGATCCACCATTACTCTTCTTTTTTCAAGAGAAAACAATTTGAGAGATTTCAACCTCTCCTCCTACGACAACCCCCTCCATCCCAGGCACCATTCTAGTAAACCTTCTCTGAACCTTTTCCAACAACTCAGTATCTTTCCTAAGGTAAGGAGCCCAAGACTGAACACAGTATCCCAAATGTGTCCTAACCAGTGATCTACACAATGAAATTATAACCTCTTTAGACTTGTATTCATTATTTCTGTAGATAGAACCTAAAATCCTATTTTCCCTACCACTAGCAACAGCTTGGATGGCTTTAGAGACTGATCAACTATTACACCAAGATCCTTTTCTTTCTTGGCACTTTTAAGGTTATTCCCATCCAAATTATCTTGCATTTATTTTAATTAAAAACCCATTTGCCATTTATTTATCCAGTTCACTAAATGATGTAAATCATTTTGTAAATCAGTAGCATCCTCTTCACAGCTAGCAACACCCAAGACCTTAATATCATCTGCAAATTTAAGTCATTTATTGAACATTCCTTCATCTATGTCATTGATACAGAATAATAAGTAATAAGAAATTAAATGAATACCTGAATTATACAATAAACAGCTAGAATATTGATATTCTAATTGAAATATAACCATGTTAAATGTAATAAAAAGAAAAACAGTATATTAAACACCATGAGGTGTGTCTAAGACAACTGATACAACCCTAACTGACATCTATCACCTCACAAAGCATATAATGCTATACTCTCTGTCTGGAACAGATCAAAAGAGAGAAGTCTGCTGATTCATGTCACTTTACAGCTAGACTGATCTATGGCTCTCCAGTAAAGCACTGTCGTCTGTTTAGTGCAGTTGTAACTTTGATTGTATTTTGGAAATAAAATATTTATTTTCACTTTGTCATGCTTTTTCAGCCTCTTTCATGTTTAAATTCAGTGAAACTCAGAATTCAGATTTACCCTGCCATATGCTTTCTTAACAAACCTCCTGTTATCAATGGGAACTGTTTTAAACTTGTGTCATTACCACAAACAAAATACCCCTACAAATGTGATGAAATGTAAACAAAACAGTGCATGTATTGTGTATTCTAAAAACATGCTCTGGTACTGAGTATGGAAAGTCAAGCATGAAAATAGATATACATCCAAAATTAAAATTGACATTATGTATTCACAAGTATTAAATAAATGCATTTAAAGTCAAAAACTGTAAAAATATTCCATCTTTTCTGCTACTAGACCTTCAATAGGATATAAAAAAAAAGGAGTAAAGCATAACATTGAATAAAGGTAGAAGATCAGTTTTTTTTTATTAGCACAAAAGACTTAGAAGTACAGGAGGGCATGTAATTGAATTGCATTTAATTACAAGTGAGAATCATAGAGAGTGATGTTTCTGGATGTGTTTCTATATCATTTGTTCACTACATCTTACCTCTTACAGAATTTTTTTTTAATTTTTTTGTATTTTCACTCTTATACCATCTTCTTTTCAAATACAGAGTTAATTTCATTAAAGGTTTCAAAATTTTTGAGGTAGATGTAGAAAATTAATTTAAACAGACCTGAATATCCATTTTATTTATAGGGTTATTTTTATTTTGAATGGATAACTTTAATGTAAGAATTTTTACCTACTTTTCAGCTTTATTTAACTATTCAACTTATTCCAAAAATGTTACATTTCATATTGCCATGTACACTAAGGTTCATCTTCAATTATGTTTTAATTTATTAGAAATGCCATTAATGATTGTTACAACATTCTAAATACATTTGTGCCATTCTAGTTCCAGGAACCACTTTACTAACATTATCTGTGCACAGTACCCCATTACTTCTGTAACTTTGTGACATAGTCAAACATCAGGCTAGTAGAGCTGGGAAACACTGACTGTCATGCTGAATCCTTTCTTGAAACATATTGGGACTGAATATCTTTGCATAGAGAAGCCATGTGACCAGATGGACAAAACTGGAAAATACTAGTGACACGTGAAAAACATACTGGAAAATGTAATTTGATTGAGAGCATTTCCAATCATCAAATTCAATAATTTTTGGTTTCTCTTGCATAACCAGAAGAGTACAGAAGGTAAGCCTGTTAACAGCAGGAGTTTCACGAGCTTGGATGTATATTTCCTGACAAGTTGTGATAGTTAAATGACAGAGAAAAAGATGAGACACTGATTCACACAAATAACACTATTATGATGACCATAATTAACAAAATGCAATAAACAATAGACTGCTAACACAATGCATGATAATACAATAGGCAAGTAATCTCATGTTTTAAAATCATGGTGTTGGTCTAGCAAGAGTGATAAAGACTATTAAACAATGAGCTCTTGCTATTCTGTGTTCTCTCCTCTCCCAACATACCCATGAATTAGACTAGGATATAAAAAGAGAAATACTAACATAGAGATGGCCAGGTGGTTAAGGCGCTCGACTCGTAATCTGAGGGTCGTGAGTTCAAATGCCCGTCCCACCAAACATGCTCACCCTTTCAGCTGTGGGGGCATTATAATGTTCGTTGGTAAAAGAGTAGCCCAAGCGTTGGTGGTGGGTGGTGACAACTAGCTGCCTTCCCTCTAGTCTTACACTGCTAAATTAGGGATGGCTAGCACAGATAGCCCTCGTGTAGCTTTGCACAAAATTCAATAACAAACTAACTAACTAACATAGAGTGAAATAACTTTAAATAAAAAGTAATGCACACTATCCCATGAAACAAATTCCATACTGTTCACTTACAACAAATGTAAACAACTTAATTAACCACACTCGAAAGCCAAACTGCTCTTACACAAAAGAAAATGAAAGTTAATCTTAATGTCACAAGATAACTGGAAGAGTTCTTGGTGAATAAAACAAAAGAAAAGTTACTGACCTGTTACCAGAAATCTAACAAAAAGCTTTAGGAATTTTCTCATGGAAGTTAAAGTTACACAAAATCTATACAAAACTAAGAACTTTGAGAAAAGAACTGAACCGAAAAGAGAGCAGAACTTAAAATGCTTGAAAACTCTTTTAAAAAATGTAAAACCTTTGTTAAAATCTTGAATGTAAAGTCAAAATGTTTGAATTTAATTTCAGTCACATTCCATTGCTTTCTTATTATTTAATAGCCTATCTCAAATACATGTTAGATGTGTCTATAAAAATTCCTTTTGAATACAAAAATTATTTCCGTCCAAGGACAGAATTAATAAAATACAGCAATCCTTTGTTATCTGTAATTATGAATTTCTTCTCTCCTTTAAGGGCTACATTGGGTCTTCTACCACGTATTTCCAGCAAAGGAGTTTAGAACATCATACTTGTTCCATCTATAACAACTCACATGTTTTCCAACGTGTGACTGTGAAATTAAATTAGAACATTTTAACATTCTAATCAAGTCAACAGAAGAAAGAACATTAAGATTCAAAGAGGGACTAGTCATTAACATTTCAATCACAAATAAACATCATGGATAATTCTTTCAACATGATAATAAGAAAATATTTGAAAACATACCATAAAAATACTACCTCAAAATATATAGTGCAAAAAAATATCATGACCAGAGAAAAAGCTCACAAAAATACTGAAAAGTACTAAAGACACTGTATATTGTCTCACAGAATAGACAATCTTCTTCAATACTTACACAGATGTCATACAGCCCATTCTCATAGATGTTTTCATGTTATACATCTGCTTCAGTCCTTCAAATAGTATAAATCCAGTATCAGTGACCACAGATATTCTAAAGACAACTGTGGAAAATCCAAAGAAGTACTTTTCCACATGAACTTCTTTCATTCTGAATCTGTTGGAGTGTGCCATATTATTTCACTAGTTTGGCATGCATTAGGCTAAGGTAAAATCAGTTTGTATTTTGTATGAGAGCTGACATTGTCAAATAACATTGACAATTCTCATTTAATCCCCTATAAAATTGATCTATAGGTTGATACGTCCAGTAGTTACCATTATTATATGTGACATTTTTTACTTCTACCACCTAATGCCTATTTGTGCCAAGCCTTAGAAGAGTGTATTTCTTTGTAAGGTGGAGTCACACCCATTTTATGTAATGAATAACATCTGAAATTTCACTCCCAATTTGTGAAGGGAATCCAATGTATACTAAAATACTCTATCCACAACAACCACATCATGTGGTAATATCCAGATGCAAATGTTTTTGTCATCATTTTGGAATACAGATGGGCATCTGCTGCATCATTTTTTCACATTTCAGAAAGATGTGGACCAAGGATCAACCCAATGTACCCATCAGTGAATACAATCATCAATTGTTTGACAAGTGATTACTGCAAAAGCACACTAGAGCATTGCTTCTGGAATGCATGTCTGGCATTTTTTTGTTTATACACATATGTGACATCTAAACTTAGGATGAGAACATCATCATTTCTTTCTGTTCAAAGCACTTTCTAGTGGTTGGTATGCCCTTATACAAAATAAAGAGGAAAGAAAATGCTTACCAAAGCAGAATGCACCTGTGCATTACTTAAGAATTTGAGGAAACCCCCAACTACATTCACACAGATCTTACGTAGGTATTCCTTGAACTTGGAATTCTAAAAGATGGGTCATCAAACAGAGAATTTTTCAGTCTAGCCAGATTAAATTCACTAACAAGTAGCTTGTAAAACCTATAAAAAATCTATTCCACCTGGTTTTTTTGGTGCTGTATATGTATTCTTTAAAAGAACGGTCACTTGTTCCATTGCAAGTAGTTTGGTCTTTAAACTTTGTATCTATAACCTGGAGTACTTGGGCTCATTCTTCAAATGTTAAAACAGCCGATTGGTTGTGTTTTAACTAATAATATATTTGATGTGACTGTTGCCTGTTGGCCTGACACTTTGAGCTTGTGCAGTCTAGTTTCTTCAAGGGTGCACCAAGAATGGAATGTAGAGAAGAAACACAGCTTGAATAAATTCCATGGGAGATCATCAGGCACATGGTATTAGGAATAAAAATAATACTGTTGATGGCATTTTGTACAAATGATGCCATCTTTAACAGAAAATTTGTCCTCTCTTTGAAAATATCTCCTGATTTCACCATTACATAGTCTTAATATATGACAATACACAAAAGTTAATTTCTTTAAATATACCCTTTGGTAGCTGTACTACATTGTCAATATTTATTTTTTGGCTATCACTTTTAGGCAAAAATCTTATCTTATAGGCCTTGTCCTTTTTGAATCGTCTCTCAGTGGCTCATTGGTAAGTCTTCAGGCTTATGATGCTAGAACTCAAGTTTTGATACCCATTATAGGCAGAACACAGATAGCCGATTATGAAGCTTTGTGCTTAACAACAATCAAACCAAACGTTTTTAAATCTATCTGCTATCAAGGGTTTTCTGCATTTACTAATTAATGACTAATTATTTCTAAAAAAATTATTTAAAAAAGATCAACCTAATAATAAGCAATATTTCAAAATAAAAAGTAAGTAAATTTACATTTTCTAATAATAACCTAAGAGTAATTTATTTTAAGGTTTAATTCATCATACTTTGCCCTTTGGTTAGGTGGGAGCTGTAGCAACATCAGGTTTAAGGCCTCCAAGTGGGAGCACAAGTTCTCATACAAGACAGCGTAGCAATTCTGGGTCTTCCCTATCATCCAAGTCCAGCACTTCGTCTATCTCTAGCAAGTCAAAACTGCCCAGAACAACACTTTCAGTGGAAAACTTATCCACGAGTCAAATTCAAGCACAAACTCAGCTCACCAGATCTACTAAGACTACTAGCAGTCTGAAAAGATCCGAGCTGAAACGACCAATATGTGGAACAAACAAAAACTCCAACCAGCCAGCTGCAACTAAACCTAGTGCACTGAAAGCCCATGCAACAATAAAGCATGGCCCTTTGAAAGAATCACCATCACAGATGATTAAGCCAGTAGCACAGGGAGTTAGCAAGATACGAAACAGTAGTGATCCTAACCAAAAAGGTACAATACAGAGAAAATAAGCTAGTAGAGGCAATGCTTTATGTTGAACATGTTAGGTGATCTGTTTATACGCTGTTAGATATACACGACTGTTTCAGTTTAAGTTTAATGCAAGAATTATGATTTAGATAGTTTATATAGTGCGTGTGTCAAATTTAGTTATTTTTAGAAGCGATATCTTATGGTAAGTTTGTTTACATAACTGTTTACGAATCATACATTGTGTGAAATTATGAATTGAATGAAAAATTCATTTACATATGCTGAATGAATCAAGAAAGAATATGTTTCTCATTTTCCAGGTGGGGGCAAGTATGGATGCCCATGTTACTGCATTCTTCAACAATAAGAATTGTCTGTACTGTGATTAGAGCTGGGCAGTTTGTGAAATTTGATAATCAATTAATCATCAAGGTCATTAATCAGTTACATTTGATCAATCAATTATTCTCACATGAGATTTTGATAGTTGGTATGATCAAAAATAATAATAATTGAAAAAACTAATTTTTATTAGTTGGTTATTTTTATATCTCATGACACTGATTAAGCTGAACAACCTTTAATTAATCAAAAATAAGAAGAAATCATAGTGATAATATTTCAATCACTTGGATAGTTAGAATAATTGAAATACTAATTTCAATTAGTTGATTATTTTACCTGACAGTAATTGAGGTAATCAATTCTCAAAGGCAATCAATTATATTAATTAATCGAGTTAATCGCCCAGCTCTTTTTTAAACATACATTTTAGCTTGACCTGTGGAATAAACTATTTATAATGACATTCAGTTTCTTTTTCATTTGACTGCCGGCCAGGTAGTTAGGGAGCTCGACTCACAATCTGCGGGTCGCGGGTTCGAATCCCCGTCACACCAAACATGCTCGCCCTTTCAGTCGTGGGGGCGTTATAACGTGATGGTCAATCCCACTATTCGTTGGTAAAAGAGTATTCCAAGAGTTGGCGGTGGGTGGTGATGACTAGCTGCCTTCCCTCTAGTCTTGCACTGCTAAATTAGGGACGGCTAGCACAGATAGCCCTCATGTAGCTTTGCGCAAAATTCAAAAACAAAACAGTCATTTCACTGCAGTAAACATCAGTATATGGTAGTGTTATGAACACTAGCAGTTTGGGGAAATCAAAGATGTTGGAATGAGTAGAGTTGAACAATTAATGGAATTTGCTAATCAATTAATTTTTTGGCTCATTAATCAATTACATTCATTCAATAAGTTATTATCACACTAAGCTTGAATGGTCAGAATAATCCAATATAGTAATAATTGGAAACACTAATTTTGGTTAGTTGTCAATTTTTGTGAGTTGTGACACTAATCAACTAAACTAAATAACCTTGAATTAATCAAAAATTATAATAACAAACTGTAATGGTAATATTTCACTAACTTGAATAGTTGTAATAATCAGAAACAATAATTTTGATTAGTTATTCATTTTATGTGCCACTAATCATTGTAACCAAATTAATCTCCCAACTCTAACTGCGATAATTTATTTTTAATTTTAAAAAAATTCTTGATTCTTACCAAAAGTCCAGTTATACACTAACAAGAATGTTTACAAGAAACTATCAACTGATTTAAAAATAACTTGTATCAAAGTAATTACACCTTATGAGATAGGAGATTGTTAACACAAGCTTGTTTTTATATGACCATGGTGACATAAACTGTGACTGTAAAATAAAGACTTAAAAGAATTTAGAGAACTTTGATATTTATATATGATCAATAATTTTTTTAAGCTAATAGTCCTCAAGGAGCTGTAATGAAGGTTCAACGAGCTAACAGCTTTACCAGTTCTGGCCTTCTTACTCAGTCTCGAAGGGTGTTAAATACATCTATATCTACCCCTACATTGACGTCAACTCCAAACAAACCAGAGTATGTTTAATTTTTCTAAATATTTTATTATTTTTATAATTGAGCTTAGACTTGTTCTGGTTCACTCAGATCTTCCAAATAAGATAAGCAAGGTATACTTTTATATCCCTCCTTGTTCCATCTATTCCAAAATGCATTACTGCAATAAAAGAAAGTACCAGCTACATCCCAGTTTTATTATAAAAATTACTTCAATATATGTGAAATTGGTGTTTTTTATACTTTCACCAAGTTGTATGATTCTTACCTTGCCAAGTTTCTCGTTCTCGTCCCTTTTATTTCTACTTTATTGTGCTTACAATATCCTATGTAACACAAATAAAAAAAGTATAAACTAGAAGAGTTAAATCTGAACTCAAACATGATGCATAGGTTAAATCTTTTTAAATCATGTTTCTTTGTACGATGCATAATTTCTTTGTTTGTATGAGATATTACAAGTCACTGAGAAATATATTCAAGATTTAAATGTTCCTTGGGTAAAATGCAAAGAAGAAGAAGAAAAATAATAATTTTAATTAGTTATACCCACTTTGTCTTGTAGCTTTCAGCTTTACACTGAATGAACTTGAACTTGAGTAGTTAATTGTATTTCACTTCTTACTGTGGAAGACTTTTGAGTGAATAAGTTGTTGAAACTTGAAACCTCTTTAGGTTACATGTGTACAGCTGCTAATATTGTGTCCCATTTGCAATACCAACCTTTTTTTTTAATTCTAATTTCTTGTATTGAAGGGATGAAAGAAGTTATTCAAAACTGTATCTTAAATGCACAGTTGCAGACTACTGGTGAGCAGCAAATAACTTTATTTGCTGCAGAAAAGTTAACACAAAATTAACATTTGGGACATGATAAATTGACTGGGAAAATAGATTTTCAATCTAATGAAAATACAGTAAAAACTTTTTTACCTGGAATTTTCATATCTGAAAATCTCTTGTATCCAGAAATTTCAGTTTCTCCAAATACAAAGGTTCATTGTAGCTTAGTGGTGCTGCTGTGGCTTTGTTTATGTTCTTTCCTGCTGGAAAGTTTCATTTGTTAGACACCCGTACTGTGACTCACATTTAACATAGTGTACTTATAAATGTTTTTATATATTTTAAGGTTTTTACATTTATTCTTTAAAACTGTTATTGTTATAGATGATGTAGAAATACTGTACTTTAGAAAATTAACAAGGTGTCAAAATTTTTCCTGTAAAATATTGTGAGGGAAGTACTTTCAAAACTGGAATTTTTGCCTATACGGCATTTCCCAGATCTGGTAAAAGTCAGATAATAAAGTTTTTACTGTATTTAGTCATTGTAATATTGGATTATGAAATTATAAGGATCTATTAATTTTGAATGTTTGACTATTCATTTTAAATTTACTTTTGTGTTTAATATTGTCATTTTAGGTTCTCTTCAAATTCTTCCAATCAAACAACACCAGTCAGCAGTAAAAAAGGAAAACTTTGGAGAGGTCGTTCAGGAATTACCTCCCAATCTCAACTTAAACACACAAAAACATCAAATACTTAGTGAAGTTCGATAGTGAGACAAGGCAACCATGGGTACATATCATTACTATATGATTTATTGTACTTACTTGAAAACAATAGAAGTGCTATAAATGAAACATTGTAAATTTTCTTTTCCTTTTTCTCAATATTTACGATAGTTATTTTACATTTCATAAACTGACTGACACTAAAATACAAATAAAGTTTATCTCACTTCTAGCTTCTTTGTAACATCAGTATATTTCAAAGATTTTGTATATTTCAATATATTTTTATGAAGTCACTTAATTTGGAATATGGGATATTAAAGAAGAAATATTTAAACTTTTTAAATAGTCTAGTTTGTGAAAATTGTCATTATATTTTACTTGTGATGTATTAAGTCACACGGGCTTGCAAAATGTGGTGTATTGTTTGAAATTCAGAATCTCATTTTGTTCAAAATGGTTGGTGCTCAGATTTTAAACTAAAATTGTCTAATTATACACCTTGTTGATTTCAAAGGATGCTCAAATTATGATTATGTATACATCGTGAAATTTCGATTTGTAATTTTAACAGAAGATAAATATTCAGATTCAGTTTCATAATTTTAATTCCTACTTATAGTTTACTGTTTATGTATCTTCTGGATTTTAACTTTGATATTTTGGATTTATTAGATATGGATACTGTCTTCATATGTGAGAGTAAATCTGAAAAAATGATGATTTAGGCATCATTTAATATGTAAAGTTTTCTGTCATCAAGGTACTGAAACTTAAGAATTGGAGAAAAATTATTTGATGAAGCATTATATTCTAAATCTAAATTGTATTTAAAAAATTCCTGATGAAGGCAAATTCTAGTAATTAAATAATCAACAGTGTAAGAAAACTAAACTGTTCCTTTGTTGTATGTTGGAAACACAATATTATGTTCCTCCAAAATACAAATTGTATTAAGACTTTGCTCTTTCAGTTGTAATATTTTATGCAGATGTGAAGTTTTCCTTTCAAAGTTGTCAAAAATGTTTTGAACTTTAGTATTATTCTTAGATTATTTCTCGTAACTTGGTGAAGGGACCTTTGCTCTTTAGATATTAAAATCTGAACGTGAAACAAATTATTTTTCTTAAATTTTCATTTTGTAAGCATTCTGCTTGAAAATCAATTGAAATTTCTTCTCTTCCAAATAATAGCTAATTTTCAAAAATATTGCTTAAGATTTACAAAGATGAATGGTGTTGACATTTACTACTGAAGTATAAAGTCCTTCATTTCATGCAAATTAATTTTTCAAAAATCTGTTGTTCAATTTTGTATAAAACAATTTCAGTATTTGAGGTATGGTCCAAATAAAGAAGATGTATATAATTTACAATAATTTTAGTTGTACATTTGTGGTTTAACATAAATTTGAATTTTGTACACAGTAAATATCAACTACAAATACAAGGAACTTTGATGTTATCAACGAGTATTACAATAAGAATATTATAGTTTTATATAACAAAAAATGTAGAGTGAAATGTAATTTTTGATTGATTAAAATATGGTTTAATATGCTATGAAATTCAGGTTGCATTTATTGCTTCATAATGATTATTTTTAAATATTAATTATTCAAATATTTATCTGAAAGTAGAAATTTTAGACTTATTGGAAAATAAATTGCTTCAGTCTATGAAGTAATTCATCTATAAGGACATTTTTCTCAGTTGATCACTGTAAACGTGATCCTGTAAAAGAAAGATATATTTTTCTTTAAATCTTTCTTTTATTCTTGATAAAAACATGGAAATTAGTTCCTCAATAAAACTAGTGTAAAAAACTGGATCTTTTGTTGACACTGCTTTAGTTAAGTACTAAAAAATGGAAGACAATTTTGTGAAATTTTAGCTTTATGGTAGATTATCTTTAGAAATGTTTCATTTATTTTTTTTTCTCTTTTAGTAGACATATTTTGAGCATTGCGTTTATAGAACATGTTAATTTTGCATAGTTCCCGAAGTTTTAAATACAAAAAAATAAAATATATTTCGTGTGAAACTACAATGTCTATTATATTTTTATTGAAAAATTTACCCGACTTAAATTATTCCAATCATTTGTTTTACTTCCTGTGCTTTCCTTCTTCTAATCGTGATGTTTGTTTTTAATCCTGGTGTAGCGTAGCGTAGGGGTCAGTGTGCCCAGACAGTAAATTCTAGAATACCTAATTCGTGTCCCGTTACCACACACACACACCAAACATGCTCGCCATTTCGGCCTTGGGGGCGTTATAATGTGACGGTCAATCCCACTATTCGTTGGTAAAAGAGTAGCCCAAAAGTTGGCGGTGGGTGGTGATGACTAGCTGCCCTCCCTCTAGTCTTTCACTGCTAAATTAGGGACGGCTAGCGCAGATAGCCCTCGTGTAGCTTTGCGTGAAATTCAAAACAAACAAACAAACCCGTTACCACAAAAACGTGCTCCGCATTTTGGGACTGTGAATGCGTTAATGTGTATCCTTGCGCAAAATTATGAAACAAAATTTGTTTTAGAGCAAGATTATATAATGGACTGTCAACCATATCGCTATTAGTGTTTTGATGTGATTGTGCATGAGAATATAATTAAAATATTATTGTCAATACAGTCACTTGTTAATAACATTTTTCTTCATTCATATTTAAATATTTTGATTTTCATTCGTGGTCGAAATCATCTTGTCTTATACATCTGAATTCACGTTGCTGGTGAAAAGGATCTGGTAGGGATCCTGAGCGCCTGGGGCTGTGACCCGAATACCTACACTGCTGCTGTTTCTGCACTGTCTTTTGATTTAGTGTTTTTGAACATGCGATTTTCTCGCCGCACACAAAGTTTTAAAGATTTGGGTGAAGATAAATGGTCGTTGTGACACATTACATCCAGAATATATATAGAGTTCCACTTTACACTTCCTTATGTCTGAATATTGTTTTTCTCTTCCACAGAGCTTATTTTTTAGAATATGGTTCGAAGACGCAACCAACTACGGTTTTAATAAGTGTCAAAATACTTTGAATACTGTGGTGTAAAATAATCGTTTAATAACAAATTATGATTTGTTTTTGACATAGATATTAAAAAATAGCAACAAGCAGAGTTGAAAATTAAATTACGGCTCGTTGTTTTTCAGTAAGATGTCTTTACAATAATTATTAGATACAGACTAATTAGTTATGTAATACGGACATTGTACTCTATAGAAGCTGAACTAGACGAAAAACATAATTAGACTGTTATGAACAGAAGAAAAAGATTTTTTGCTCATAGGCTGGGTGTGTCCTACGTGTTACTTTACTGATTTATGAAGCCGATGGTCCACTGTTCACATCCAATTGCTGTAAGATGTTTCGCACTCTGTGGCCATGGATGCTGTTTAATAACTGTCTTCTCTCGAGACCAAGACTGCCAATCTGGAGGGCTACACCCGGTTCCAATCACTGGAAGGCTGTCTTAGTTAAAATTTAAGTTTCTAATATTGAATATTTTAAATTGCCAAGTACAGGTGATGAGTATGTTATAATGAAATGATTTTGGAGCCTCACCATGTCTGTTCATATTCTATGTGACGTCCGTGCATCTTCACAAGATCCATGAAGCGTACTTTCTATTGTACTTTCTATCTAAAGCACATAATTTTTCCCTCCATAATCCATCAAGTGTATGAGGATGAAGGTTTCCTTGTGCACATTTCAGCAGTCCAGTCGCAGAGAAATCCATAAGCGCTACATCCGATGACTTGGCCAGTATGTCTTGGTATGAAATATCATAAATATTTGTTTAATTCTCCAGATGCTTGAAGTATGCAACGGTTGAACAGATATGTCATAGAAGCAGCTTGTGTCGCTTTTCCGTTCGGAAAATCTTGGTTATGTTGTATATTGTTGCTTAAGGCACGAGAAAAGCTTTTTTTGCTGACTTTTGTGTTTAAGGATTGTTACCTTTTACAAAACGTCACACTTTCAGTTGATCCACGGCTTGGGTATGACTTAATACATGTCTCTTTCTCGATGGCTCTTGTACCTCAAGTTGATCCATATTCCTTTGTGCTCCAATGCCATTAAGTACAACGGATATCTCCAATTTTGGGATTTTGAATTCACGATCTGAACACATCTTTATGATGTGAATGTATGCATATTTTGCGTTGGAAGGGGCTATTACGTGCCCTTCACAAAACAATAGAGTTTGTGGCATCACACTACCTACGATAAGTCAAACAATGTAGTTCTCATACGTTCTATGCTACTGCGACTTTATATCGACTGTAGCTTTACACGTGAATTGGCTGATTTTCATATTCAAAATCGTTTTTATATAACGCACTCAACCTTTTAAGAGTATTATTCGTATATATTTTATCCTGTCGTAAGATGTGACAACCCTGCAATAGTGAACAGATATACATACACACACACACAGAGTAAAACTTGTGAAGTTGGCCACCTCTGTAAGTCGGCCAGTTGCCTAAGTCAAACGCATTTTCGTGGAAGCGTGAAAATCATATAACTCTATACTTTGCAAACACTCTATAACTTGGCTACTAATCATGACACCGCTTGTCTATTTTGTTGCGTAGTATGTAAAATATCTCATTAACTTTCTACATACGTGATCGGTTAAAATTACCGACTTCTCTACCAAGAAAAAAAATATGTAGCCTACGTCTTCCTGTGACGAAGTGTTCCAGTGAGAAAGCATGGATGACCTTCCTGTGATAAGGGCCCCCCAGTGGCACAGCGGTATGTCTACGGACTTACAACACTAGAAACCGGGTTTCGATACCCGTGGTGGGCAGAGCACAGATAGTCCATTGTGTAGCTTTGTGCGTAAATTCAAACAAACCTGTAACAAGGTGTTCCAATAAGGAAACATGGATGACCTTCCTCTGATAAGGTGATCCAATAAGAAGGCATGGATGACCTTCTTGCGACAAAGTGTTCCAATAAAGAAACATGGATGACCTTCTTGTGACAAGATGATCCAATAAGAAGGCATGGATAACCTTCCTGTGACAAGGTGTTCCAATAAGGAAACATGGATGACCTTCCTGTGATAAGGTGATCCAATAAGAAGGCGTGGATGACCTTCTTGTGACAAGGTGTTCCAATAAGGAAACATGGATGACTTTCTTGTGACAAGATGTTCCAATAAGGAAACATGGATGACCTTCCTGTGATAAGGTGATCCAATAAGAAGGCATGGATGACTTTCCTGTGACAAGTTGTTCCAATAATTAAATATGGATGACTTCAATCACTTTTGAATAACAGCTCAAATCAGAAAATGAAAAGAGAAAACAAAAACATTTTGCTTTTAATAAACGATACTGCTGGCCTTGTTGGCGTAAAGGAATTGAGCCACGCCATTGATAAATTTCTTCTTCCAAATTTGAAATCAGCTACTCGACCAAGACATTATACGAACTGTCAAACTTCGTTACTGGAAGATGATATTGCAGTGTCTTGTATCAAATGTAAAGAACTGCAAAACTATTGGGATGAGCAGCACATGTAGTGAAGTTTCATCAGAAACGAGCGTGAAGTGTTTTCGGCGTGCAGGTTTCTACCTAACGCTTGAAAATGAGAGGCGTTGGTGTAGAAGACGCCTTTCATGCAGTTCCTCTGAACATCAGAAGCAAATTGATGATTGGCTAAAATTTCAGACTTCGACAATACAGTGATTCATCACGAATACGTGCTAAAAACCAGTTAATGGCATCACAGAAGAATTCCTTGACAACTTCGAGCAAACAACTTCCATTGATACTGATGAAAACAATTCAGATGAAGATGACAGTGTTTACGAAGAAATTCTGAACCCTTCTCAAACGTACAAAGATGATCTGCAACATGTCTCACACCTAATGACTTGTACTTCTGTCTATCACAATATGTCTCACACCTAATGCCTTATACTTCTGTCTACCACTGCCCCCCAGTGGCACAGCGGTATGTCTGCGGACTTACAACTCTAGAATCCGGGTTTCGATACCCGTGGTGGGCAGAGCACAGTTAGCCCATTGTGTAGCTTTGTGCTTAATTACAAACAAACTGCACCACCCAAGCCTGATGGAGACATTTTTGAATATCTATATAAATATTGAGGCGCAATATGTGGCAGAAAAAATTAAAATCAGGCAGACGAAAATAAGTGACTATTTTGATTGTTGAGAAAAAGTGACACTGTGATCTTTGAAAGGCATAATACAAATGATTTAATATTACTGTATAAACCTAGAATATTTTTATTTGTTTTTCTATGGTATGTGTATTGTATGAAATTTTTAATAAAGAATAAACCAATTTGAAAGGAGTTATTTTTAAGTTTTTCTTGTAAGTTGGCCACTTTTTAACGAAACCGTAGGTAGCCAATTTATACAAGTTTTACTATATATATGTGTGTGTGTGTGTGTGTTCCGACATTCAGGAAGATTATAAAA